ATATATATATATATATATATATATATATATATATATATATATATATATATATAAAGATATACCTAAAAAATAAAAATGATAAAAATTATATATATATATGTATATATATATATATATTTATATATATATATATATATATATATATATATATATATATATATATATATATATATATATATATATATATATATATATATATATATATATATATATATATATATATATATATATATATATATATATAATTTTTGTGTTGTTGCGCAGATTGTGAAATGTTAAACTTTTATTGTTTTTTTTTTTGTACATTGCGTATTAAATATTATTTATAATAAAAATTTATTTTTTTAATTAATAGACAACCTGGCCACCCCAAATCCTCAGTCGATGTAGCAGCACTCCTTTGAGAGTCAGGCTATTTGTCAATCGATGTAGCAGCACTCCATTGCGAGTCAAGCTATAAGATAATCGATGTAGCAGCACTCATTTTAAGTCGCAATTTCTTATTTAAGTCAATATTAATATTTATTATACATAGTATAATAAATATTTAAAAAATTCATGTAAAAATTCAACATTTCACAATCTGCGAAACAGCGCTATCCCTTTCACGAAATAAGCAAAAAATTGCACAGTTCGTGAAATGCGCGATTTTACGATCTGACGATCTGTGCGTAACACACACACACACACACACACACACACACACACACACACACACACACACACACACACACACATATATACATTTATATATATATATATATATATATATATATATATATATATATATATATATATATATATATATATATATATATATATATATATATATATATATATATATATATATATATATATATATATATATATGTATATATATATATATATATATGTATATATATATACATATATATATATATATATATATATATATATATATATATATATATATATATATATATATATATATATATATATATATATATATATATATATATATATATATATATATATATATATATATATATATATATATATATATATATAAATGACAAAAGACGTTTCTTTAAGCATTCTTTTATATATAAATCTGCGTTAAATATTTTTTGAGTAATGTATAGTGTACTTTTTAAACCACAGGAGCAGATTGCTTGCCAAATAAGGAACTTGGGAGCAATTTTTTTGGTTTGAATATATTTGAATTTTTTGGCCACATATCTCCTTTCGACTGATAAAAACATTGCTGCCCTGGCAATTGTGAACAGCCCTTTTTCCAATAGCTTTCATCGTCTTCAATTATGCACATGTTTTCTCAGTTTAAAAGTTTATAAAGCTTTTTTGAACAACGAATTGCTTTAATTTCTCCATTAGTAGATCACTTTGGAGTTTTCTTTTTTTACTTTTCATTCTTGAAATCTAAGTACTTTTTCTATCAAAGCTTAGTCGCATTTAAATTTCCTCACAAGATTTCTATGCGACATAGATTTGCCTTTATAGAGCGAATGATTGGTTTTGTTTTTTAAATTTATCTTTAAGTTCTTTCTTTTTTCCACTTTCAGCTTCTCTTTCAATAGATTGAGTCTGTTTACCGCCACAAAATAAATGTAACTGATGATCAAGAAACACCTGTCAATTTTAAAATGTCAACTTGTGACAATGAAGGAAATTTTAAAAACTTTTTTTTGATTTAGTATTTGTTTATTCATTTTAATCCGATAACAAATAACTATATAACCAATACTTATTACCATTACAATCAAACAACAACAGATTAGCTTTCGTATGCCAAAAAATTAATTATAAATTAATTGTCAATTAGTTATAGAGTAATTAACGATAAAAGGTGCTGAATTTCATCGTGTTGAACCAATAAGATAATTGTTTTTGATAACCCAATCTGGTGATTGCAGTTCTGATATAATGATTAGTTTACGAGTCTTTTGCCCAGCAGTACTGCAATTAGGATTATCATTAAAAAGGACCAAATTAATGCCCTATATACTATATTAGCATTGGAATATTACCTGTTAAGACATTTCATAACAACATGTGATAAATTATCATTTTAGTATGTTTTTTCATCTTCTGAAATTTTCAAAGCTGTAATCTCATTCTCCTCTTTTAGAAATATATAATATTTTAAGCAAAAAATCACTGTTATTTGCCATTATATTTGACTTTTAATATATTTTTTTCAGGTCTTTAATTTTTGTCCTTAATAATTTAATGCCTTTGTACCATAAACTGCAGATGTCAAAGGTTCAAAAGTTATTAAAGTTAAAGCATTCATATGGTCAGAAGATGAGGCATCTTCTGACCATATGAATGCTTTAACTGCAATACTGAAGAATATGCAAAAGTGTATCTGAACTGCTTTGAACAGTTTGTAATGTGCAGTTAATGATGAGGAATAAACATTAATAAAAGGCTCATTACAAAATTTAATAAAATATTTGGAGTCTCCAAACTTTAAAAAGTTTTTTGCTTAAGTTTAAGATCTTTTTTTATAAAGATGCATTACCTGAGTTATGTAAAAATATATTAATTATGAGACTACATTGCTTTGCAACATATTGAGTATTTTTTTAAATACCCATCGTTTGTGAATATAAAAAGGATATGCCCATTCCTACTACTTGTAGTGCTGTTCGCTGTCCAATCAATATTTATTTGGGAAGGTAGTGCAAAAGTAGAAGTTAAATAATTTTTAGCTTTATCATAAAAAAACACTTCTTTTTGGGTCACATAACACTACTAAAAAACAACAACCTGGAACTATAAACAAAAAAAAAAAAAAAAAAAAAAAAAAAACTTAAACCCTGAAATTTTATTCATAGATTTTAGTTTATCTATTTTTAAGACAACGAATAATAAGTACTTTATATACCAAATACAGATATAAGAAATAAAGATAAACACAAATAACTAATTGTTTCAACATGTAACAATATATTAAGTATTACTATAAGTTCAAACAATAAGTTACTTATCTATAATTCAGTCATTAAGTTATTGAAAAGTATACATTAATCATTAATCTATGTTATCAACTCAGATTAATCATTAATTTAATTTATTAAATAATAGACAAATATAGTTAGAATTTATCTTATTTAATTTACGTGTACACTTGGTAAAAATAAGGACATCCTAAACAAATACTTAAAGGTCAGTTTCCACTCGTCCGTTTTTCCAAGGGAACGGGAAAAGGATGGGATAAAAACTAGATTTTGGACAGATCGGATGGGGTATATCCATTTCCAGTTGTACTCGTAAAATTTTAAAAAATGATAGCAAATTAATAAAAATGGCGTTTTTATCAATCCTCATTAAAAAAACTTTATATATGTTATTACTATATTATTTAAAAATCAAAAAAAGACAAAAGTATAAAAAGCGGATGTGGGTCAGAAAATTTATTTAGAGAGAGGAAATCAAAAGGAGCATTCAGTTTATTTATAAAAGATATGCAACTTTTCGATCACAAATACTTAAAAATATTTTTTTAAGTTTTTTAGAATGACACCTACAAAGTATGAGCAATTTTTAAGTCTAATTGCACCGGTGATAACAAAATCTTCCCTCAGGCGTGAAACAAATGGAGCTAGTGAACGATTAATGGTCACTTTGAGATTTTTTTGGAGGCACTTCGCAAATAGATCTAGCTGGTATGTCCGAATAAGTCCGACTTCGAAATAGAAAGTTTAACTCTCCTTCTTTTTAAATAATATCTAAGTTGATATCAAATTCTAAAAACTGAGACCACTAAACAGTGGCGGATTAAGACTTCTTGGGGCCCGGGGCTATTTTTGTTTTTGGAGGCCTTTTTATGGGCCAGAGCCTAAAAATGACTTTAAAAAAAAAAAAAAAAAAAAGGTCCTCTAGAATTTTTGGGGGCCCCTAAATTTGCCGGGCCCGGGGCTATAGTCCCCCTAGTCCCCTTGATCCGGCACTGCTATTAAGGATAACTTTCACTATGATAATATGCAACAGTTTATTTTCATCTCGTAGATATTCCTCTAAGAATAAAAACTAAAAAATGGTTAGCTTGACCATAATGTAAAGGTAATCTAACAGTTTTATAGTATGAGCTTGATATGTGTTATAGTTAACGCTTTCCGTTATTGAAATTTAAGAAATTAAAAACTAAAGCTCATTCTTTATCATGATTTTTTATTAGATTTGCATTAGTTTTCATAAACTAATAATTGCAATATTTATGTAGAAAGACCAATACACGGTTTTCGAAATTCAACTTTTGTTATGCAAAATATACATACTAGAATGTACAGAACAAAAAATTTCGAGTAAACAAACAGATAATCTCAGTGAAACACAGGCAAAACATCCAATTAAAATTAGTAACAATGACGATTTAGTACTCCAAAAACAATTTATTGATGAATTTAAACTATTTAGTGTAATAGCATTAAAGTCTTTTTTATCAGTACGTAAAAAATCAACATCTGGATTGTTTCTTTATTGAATAAAGATATATATATATATTTATATATTATATAAAAATTATGTTATATAAATTATATATAATGCATATTATATATATATTAAATATGCATTATATATAGTTTATATAACATATAATTTATATATAATTATATGTATTTCCTATAAAGAAGGATGCCTAGTAGAATATATATATATATATATATATATATATATATATATATATATATATATATATATATATATATATATATATATATATATATATATATATATATATATATATATATATATATAATATATATATATATATATATATATATATATATATATATACAGTGAGTAAAATAACGGCCGATCAATGGTCAATGACCGCCCAAAATGCGTAAAATTGCTATTTTGACCTCCCAAAATGATTTCTTGCCGGTCATGGTTGACTGGTTCAAAAATAATCAGAGTTTTGAAAAACATGATTTTAAAAATAATCAGATTATTATTTGGAAAAAGCATTATAATTTGTAATTTTTTGTTTTGAAAAAGAAGATAGTGATTTAATTTTTGTAATTTGTCAATAGTTTTTTTTAAGCTACTTATTAAAAAAGTTGATTCTTGAGCTTGAGTGAACTCATTATGATTTAAAAGTGAATTAATATTATTTTCTTCTTTATCTACTACTACCACTGGTACTGGTTCAATCATAAAGTCAACAGGGTTTTTTGTAGCGAAGTTGACACTAACTAACAAGGAACTAGAACATAACTGTTTAACAGAAATTGTGTCTTGATTTTGATCAACTATTGTATTAAAGTATGTATTAGACTTTACATTTAATTTGCATTTTTTAAGTAAAGGCTGTGTGAAGTTAGTATTTATTATACTGTTTCTATTTAGAGGTCGAGTGCTAGGGCACTTTAAGAGCAACTTTATGCCTAGAATCATATCCAAGGTTCTCAGTGGGATAATGATTTTTTATATTAGGCTCTTTATCTTTAAAATGATTAGAACAAACTCGTGCATCTTTCTTTGGGCAGAAAAAATCATTTGTCCCAGTAGTGTATAAGCAGTTAATTAGTTTGATCCAAATTTCACATTGGGAAGGAGATTTTTGATAGTTGGAAAAGGAAATAAATGAAAAGGTGATGCACAATTACATCCAATATCTATTTTTCTACATTTATGTTCAGTGCATATTTCATATTTCCATTTCATAAGTCTATAGCGTCCATTTGAACAATTTTTCACAACGCAATAATATGCCATTTTACCAATAACTACTTATTAAAACTAAAGGAAAAATAATAAATCAAAATAGTTAGTGTATTAAGCAGTTTTTATATCAAAACAATCATTTCAGTTTGCAAAAACATATCAAAATATAAAATCTATTCAAAAAAACTTGATTCTCTTGTAAAACGTACGTTTTTTAAGTTTGTTTACTCGAAATTTTTGTGTGTGTTAACAAACACACAAAAATTTCGAGTAAACAAACTTAATGAGTGGGTTTTACAACTTTTAGGAATTTCGAAAACCGTGTATTCCAATCACGAATTTTAATCTCGTAATTTTCCATTTAGTTTTAAAATTAGCGCCTAAGCCTCTGTTTCGAAAGCAGCCAATCAGATTGCGCATATATCTGCCTGTTCTGAACCTGTATAAGGTTTCAAAATATGCCTTCGGGATGCCTCGGATTTTCAACATAATTTTTTTTTAAATCTTTTATCTGAAAGATTTTTCTTTATTTTCCGTTCCTTACTTTTTTTTTCTTCTGTTGTACCCATTTGCCATTTAAAAAACGCCTTCGTTTGCGATGTCATTGTCAATAATAATGATAACAATAATAATAAAAACAATAAAAAAATAAAAGTTACAATATTAAAGATATTAAAGATAATAATAAAATAGTGAAATATAAAAGATTAAAAACGTCAATAGCTTTTGTAATTCTAGTAAAAGTTAAACAATTAAATATTAAGTAAAGGCGAAAAATATTATATAGAGTTAGATAATATAAGAAAGATGATAAATGTAGTAATTTATTTTCCTATAGACAAATAAATTGAGTAGCAGTCAAGATTGTAACTTGAGTTTTTTTATCTTGTGGACTATCATAATTTTGTTTAGTTTTATTTATAAAGACAGATCTTTTGTTTGAACTTTCATTAAAATTTTATAAAGTTTTTGTCACACCTTATTGTTTGACTGTGTTCAACAAATATACTTTTGCATGATAAGGACTAAAAAGGTTGGAGGTAGTTTATTTATAAATATTAAGAAAGGCAGAAACCTAAGGAGAGATACTTGAAGGATTTCTAAATTGACAGGCTAGGTTGTGGAAATATTTTTATTTATAGTTCATCAGCTAATTCAAAATTTATTATATATAATATTATATATAGTACATATATTTGAGCTATTATAGGTAATAAATATATTGATAACCACAGTAAACCAGTGAGCATATTAGGTTTGATAAAGTGTCACCTGGGATTTTTCACTGATAAATTATTGTTATTATTATAGTAACATGATTTAATCATAATTATAATTAGTTTCACTTGCTAAGTAAAAATAATAGTAACATGATTTAATCATAATTAAAATTAGTTTCACTTGCTGAGTAAAATTGTCAAATCAATTTTCAAATATAATATGCAAATGAGTAAACAAAAATTAAATTGTGTTCTGTAAAACTATTTAATTAGCCAGATAATCATTTAAACTAAATTTGAAAATCGTTCAAAAAAGCTACTGTTACAAGTTAAGTATACTAGACTGAACTGTTTCAATAAAATAAAAAAATCAGAACAATTCTCGAAATTTTAGACAACCCAGGTCCTTCGTTAAATCAAAAAAAAATTTTTTTTTTTCATTTAACAAATAAATATTTAAGTAAATAAAAAGAATAAACTTAATAGAAAGGTATATAAAAAATTGAAATAAACAAAGATACATTTATTAATACTATTGATAATAACTCAATATATTATCTAATGAAAGAATAAGTTTTTTTAAAAAAAGGTGAAAAGACATAGGTAGAGCAAAATCAAACTTTAAAAAAAAAAAATTATGCTGACGTTAACAAAATCATTCAAAGTTTAATAGATTTCAAATTTCATTAAAAAAATACTTTGATATCCAGGAGCTGTGGCTTTGTAAAATTAACAAACCATTTTTTATTTGGGGGTTCAGAATTCGGTGTTTTTCTTACTCAAGTGAAACTAATTTTAAATGTGATTAAATCATGTTAATATAATTGAAAATTCTCAACATTCATTGCCATATAACACTGTTATGATGAAAGAATTTTCAGGATAACAGGAGAATAAGATTTAATTCAATTTAAAAATTTTCCTTTTAAACAGTAAGAAAAGTCTTGTGAGCATTATATGCTGTTATGAGCAATTTTAAGGAAAATATTTTAAAAGAAATTTTTAATTTCAAGGTGTTGCAACTCTTTTGTAACACTCTAGAAAAGTTAAAAAAAGTCTTGTAAAAGTAGCCTACCATATTAGTATTACTAATATGGTAGTATTACTAACAATGGTAGCCTACCATTTACTATTGTTCAAATTAAAAAGTGTCCCATACACAGCAAAATGTCTGCAGCAAAACAAGTTTGAGGAATATATAGTCAGAGTTGTATAACTGGTTTGGTTAACATTTAATATTGAAGATTTTGTTAACATCAAGATTTCAATAATTTCAACAGAAGTAAATAGTTGTCATTAGGTACAATTGTAAAAACTTGCACCAGAACTGCAGACAAAATTTTTTTTTATTAAGAAAAACCAACATATTAAAAAAAGGTAATTAATTTTCAATCTTAATGAAGTACATGTTGTATCTAAAAATTAAGGTCAGTTTTGTACTCTGAAACCTAATAAAAACTAATGCATCTAGATAAAATAATAATATGTGATTAAACTTTTTCTCAAGGATTTTGAGTCACATTTAGTTTCCATTAAAAAATAAATAATTTTTGAGACTATTAAGTTCTGCAAGTGCTACTTTTAAATCCATTGTGCAAAAATTTACTGGGACTCCAAATATAAAAAAATCCATCTAACCATTTTCAAAATATTATATCTAAATATTGCATAATATCTTAGGATTAAGGGAGATCAGGGGATTGATGGCCTCTGGGGTAATTATGGACATATGATATTTCTATATTTGTGTAATTTAAGTGAGATTTTTTATCTGTACCTATGTTCTACTAGAAAAACTAATAATTGGTTCTAGTTCTTGGTTTTTCCTACATAAGTGGTGCTAGTTGTCTTATATTGTCATTTGCGTATTAGAAAGAAAAATAATTATTGTGCTATTAAGTATATAAATGTTAAAGACACTGACTAAATAACACCTATAATAAGAAATATAACTATTCTAGTTTTTAAATATATATAATGTAAGTATCTTCTTATTTGCAAATTTTTATTTTTTGTTAATAAAAATTGATTCATTTTGGGGTTATGATTTTATACTGAGCAATCATGGCCATATAAAATGGCTAGAAAATAGAAAAGTCTTCAGATATTTGTTTAGTTTGTGGGGAATTTGGTAAAAAAAAGAAAATGGTTGGTAACCTGTGCTGCATGTGGTGACTGGGCCCACAAAGACTGTACAGATTTCCTCCATAAAAACAATATTTATAATTGTGACTATTGTATTTAATAGTAATATTGTACTAATTATTTTTATTAATTCTTAAACTCATAAACTTATTCTTTTAAACTCTTATAAAACTTATTTTCAATAATTATTATTCTTGTTTTCATTATTTGCATTCAACAAAAGAATTGGGTTAATGCTGACCAGGTTGCCACAATTGCCCCAAAATTATAGGGTAATACTGGCCATTTTGTTTAATTTTTTTCTTGTAATAACACATCAATTATTTTGTGTACGTATTTGCCAATAAAGTACTTTATAATATACATTGTAGTAATTCTTCTACCTTCATAATTCAGTAATTCTTCAGACCATTATAACACAACCCTAAAAATGGCAAAAAACCTTGAGGGACTACCATTCCCCCAACCTCCCCTATCACTAAAATGCAGAATCAGCAATATTTTAATAAAGATTATCTTAACAATTTATGTATATTTTTTGCTAATATTTTTTCAGGTATCATTTAATATGGACTGCAAATAATGTAAAAAAACAAAAAAAAACAAAAAATTTTTTTTAACATGCTTTGTTAGAAACTAACAAGTGAGATTTGATTAGCTCTCATCCAGCTAAGAACTGATGTTATAGTCTTATTGGTTTGATTTTAAAATTTATCCAAAGAATATTTAACTATAAGTGTATTGAGCAAAATGGTTAGTTTAATTTATCAATGTCAAGAAAAGCCGAGGTCCAAGAATAGATTCTTGGAGATTTTCTAAACTGATAGGCTCGAGTGCATGGTTCAAATGTATGGTTCAAATTATCTTTTAGCGGAGTTAATATATGAGTTAAAAATTTTTTGTATAATTTATTCTTTATATTTCTATACTTTAAAATTCCTGAGTTAAACTGTTGTTTTTTGATAATAAAAAACAACAATAGGGGCATATTTTTCTAGAGTTTTTTCAAACTTATTTAAAAGTATAGCTGTTAATTGATTTGGATCATAGTGTTTGGTTATGTGAGACCGAGGATAAGGATAAATAGAGCTATTACTTGTGATCAATACCTTCTATAATGATTATTTTAGGCTCCTGTGGTTTTAAAAAGAGCTTATCTATTTTTCTATGATGTTGAAAGTTTTATGTATTAATAAAATATACATCTATATACATATACATATACATATATATATATATATATATATATATATATATATATATATATATATATATATATATATATATATATATATATATATAAATATATATATATATATATATATATATATATATATATATATATATATATATATATATATATATATATATATATATACACTTACTAAAGCGTATTTTGATAAGCATTTGCTCACTTTTTCTGCTTACCTTAAGCCATACCATACTATTTCAGTATGACGTCAGATTGCTTACCTTAGTATGCAATACTATTTGTATATATATATATATATATATATATATATATATATATATATATATATATATATATATATATATGTATATATATACATATATATATATATATATATATACATATACATATATATATATATATATATATATATATATATATATATATATATATATATATATATATATACATATATATATATATATATATATATATATATATATATATATATATATATATATATATATATATATATATATATATATATATATATATATATATATATATACAGGGTTGCCAGATGTCTGGCTTTTACGAAGGAGAGCACAGTAAAAAAAATTATATATATATACAAACGTGCATGTATATATATAGTGCGATTCTCAAATTATTGAAACCAAAAAGCTAATTTTAAAACACCCTTTTTTTGCAATTTATTATACAATAAACTAGCTAAATTTACATTTAAAATACATTTAGAAGTTTTTGTATAGTGTATGGAAAATTATTGATATTAGTTTCTTCAGTTACTAAAATTTGTAAATTTTCAATTTTTAATGTCAGCATATTATTTTCCATTTATTGTAATAAATATATATTTAATATTGTTATAATTACATAAAACCATTTTCATAACTATTTTAATATAATTTTAACAAAAAAAATCTAGCTTTGAAAAAATATTTATACATATATATTACATTTTAGTAAATACCATTTTTGTGATGTCACACACATAACAAAAAACATGAAAAGTTTTATTTGTGAGCAAAATAGAATGCTTTTTTAAAAAATATTTTTAGTTATAAGCAAAAAGTATTTAAGAAACTATATGAAATTTTTTTTTTTTATTCAATGTCTTGAACTGAGAGAGCTGACAAAAAATACTGTTCAATAAGAATTAAAAAAATTAAGAATATGTGAAAAAAAAAATTTAAAAGAAAAAACTTGAAAAAATAGACAGTGCAGAAAAGGATTTATATAAAGAAAAAAAGCTGAGAAAATGTTTTTTGACAATGTTTTTGAGAGAGGCTTATTCTATTTTTTAATCAACCTATGGAGAGATTATGCTTTTCTCTATATTTTGTAAGCTTATGCCAAAAAACATTCTTTTTTATAGAAGAAACATAAACAGACTAATGTAAGTGAAAACTGCATGAGAACTTTCACTTATTACTTAAAGCATCAGCTATAATAGTTCATATTGGATGTCTTCAACTACAATCCAAAAATAGGTTTATGATGGGTGATATAAATTGGTGTATAAGAGAAGTAATATAGAAACTACTATTTACTTTATCTAAATTTTATGAACACGTTTAGATAAAAAGAGTTCAAGCAGCAGAATTTGAAAAAGACAAGAGGATTGCAGGGTACAGAGTTCTTCAGGTGGATTTTGCAATGGCATTTATTTGCGAATATCCAAATGAAGTACAAAGTGCACTGTGGAGTAGGAACACTGTTAAATTCTTTAATGGTACTGCTTTCAACAACAATAATTGCAAAACCTATTTTATCTGTTCAGAGACTAGAGACTAGGAAAAAGAAAACTGTTTCCTGTTTTATTGGGTAATTATACAAGATACTTATGTCTGAAAGCTGTAATAATGATACTGAAACTCTTTCACCGATGTGAAAGAGTTTCAGTATCATTATTACAGCTTTCAGACATAAGTTTCGCCCATTATCAAAGTTTAAAAATAAGTTTATGATGAAATTACTCAACCAATTATTTTTTTAATAAAATAAAATATCTGAGTGGAAGTTTTTTGCAACTTCACATAAAAAAAGGGATTTAGATGGTGTTGGAGGATTAGTTAAGTCTCTTGCTCGAATGAAATGTATGAGCAAGAATGAGAAAGTGTGCATAAACGTCTATGGATTTTTCAATGTTTTCAAACCATTGAAAAAATCCATAGACAGCTACTAATATTCTCTATATTAGCAATGATAAAATCATTAGTAAAATAGACAACAAAAAATCTTGGTTAGAAGTCAAAAAAACACCGGGAATACTAAAGATTCATAATATCAACTCTTTCAATGAATGCAAATTATTTTTCAAAACAAGTGACTCAAAGTCATCTGATTTTCAAATAAACTATATTATTAACCTGCAAGTTCCCAAAATATTTTCTTAATCTCCAGAAATGGCTTTTAATGATTGGTGCTTTGTGAAGAACAATGAAACTACGTTCCCTGATAAAGTAAAGCTTAAAAAGTTAAAACTTTTTTTTTTTTTTTTTTTAATTATCTTCGCTTCCAACAAGGTTGCAAGCAACCACTAATTAGTGTTGGAAGTTACTGGAAAAGAAAAGATGAAGGTTGTAGAGCAAGATAACGATTGACAGACCACTTAAAATATTGCAAATTATATGAATCAGGAAAGCAAGATGAAGGAAGCGAATTCCAAAGAATTGATGTTCGAGGAAAAAAACTAGACGAATAAGAGTTTTTGGAGCACTTAGAAACAGTAACAGAAAAAGGATGAGACTTATTTGAATGACGAGTAACACGAGAATGAATTTTAGTAGATGGCACAAGAGACGTTAGCTCTTTAGAGCAGTGCCCATTATAGTATTTGTAGAAAAGAGAAACTTAATAAAAAAACTGTATAACAAAAGTGCTAGTCAGTTTAATCTTTATTTCAGTTATGTTAAAAAAATGAAAACTGAAAAAAAAATTATTTCAAATTTATTAAATTATCAAAAGTTCGTACAGTATCACACACGTAACAAAATTTGTCACTTACGTAACACCAAAGATTATCATTTATTTTTATGAAGTTATTGAAATTTTGAAAAATAAAAGTATTTTATATAAACATCAACTTGTCTGTAACATTAAAAAAAAAATCATTAAACTAATTGTAGCCAATTAGCAGAAATATTCAATCAAAGTTTGAAATTCAAATTTATAGTTTTGTACACGTCACACATATAACACAATTAATCAGCTCTTTTACTAGTATATGCAATAAACAAATTTATTAGAAAAATATTATTTTATATCAGACACATCTCCTACTATAATATTTGCAATATCTGCATATCTGTAGTAAACAATTTTTTATGCCCTCCTTTTATAAGAAAATATTTGTACCAGAATCACACACATAACGCAAAAATCGCCCAAGACCATTAGACCCAACTATCCAAAAATGCAAATATAAACTTAAAATTTAGTTCACACCAAAAATGACAGCATTTTTAAATAACCCTATTTTTCAATTATCAACTGTTAAATGTGTTACTAGAAATGAATGCCACTCTAATTTGCCTACTGGCTTATGTGAAGGGTGCAACTAATTATTTGTCATTTCTTAATAAAAAGAAAGATACAATTGGTTGCTCTCTTCTTGACCTGGTCTTTATAGTAGATAAGGGCACATATAAATGGGGTAGTAGCTTTTTAGAGACCTTTATTATATGATTTATGTAGATAATTAATATCTAAATCATTTTAAAATTGAAAGTTTTGTCTCTTTAAATTCTATTTTTTAGAGGTCTGTATGTGGTCTGGTCAGTAACTACTCCACTCCCCTCTCCCCGCCTAAAAACGTTTTAACAAAGTTTTCTTCAAGTTAGTTGAAATATAATGATTTGACCCATTTATTATCTTCACGATGCATTGTTTTATTTGCATTGAAATCACTTAAATGTTTAAAAATTTATAAATTTTTTAAAATTAATTGTTTTTAGAATTGTTAGCAACTAAAACAATGAAATATGGAGATCTTTTGGCAACATTAAAATTGCTACCTACAGAGTATATAATAACCTTTGAACTTTACCTAACTGATAACTCTATCGCTTACACCAACATAATTCATTTTACTGCAAATTTATGGTATGGAAAATTAGAAGATAGAATTCCTGCTATTTTTCTTTCTCAAAAATGTATTCAAGTTAGCACACCAGTTAATAACAATGCTTTTAGTTTTTATACAGGAGTACTTAATGTAAAGAAATGGATAAATGTAACATTAAGCCAGCTGTTGGTTTCTCAAAAATATATTCATACTTTTCAATTAGATGATAAAATTATTGGCACAGCTAGTGGTATTAATGCAAAAAGCTTTCAGAATGTTAAAATCTATGCTAGTAATGGCTACAATCCTTCTCAACCAGGTTACATAAGAAATCTTGTTATAACAAATGTTTGTAAAGGTAAGTTTATTTTATTGTTGAAAATAGTTTTACTATGTTATAAACCATATTTATTCACCAGTGAACATTTTTTATTAACTAAACATGTTTAACATTTATACTTACTTAAATAAATTTATGTTATACCCCGCCAATAAGCAAATGTTTTTTTAATTGAAAAACAAGCTATTTTTTTCAATTAAAAGCTTTGAAGCTCTTAAATCCAAGTCTTAAAAATGTCCTAAATGTTTTTAATAATAAGTGGCATAGAGAAAAAAAATTTAATTTTAAGATTTTTTAATATAAACTTTATCTAACAAAATACTTTTGAGTATTGTGAAATTAAAATTTACATACAAGTCTACAAATTTACATTACAAGTCTAGCATATTACAAATTTACATTACAAGTCTAGCATAATTATTTAACTAACTAGAATATTAATAAAAATTTTTTCGCTGTATGACAAGCCAAGTGAGAATGAGTTTTGGTTGGTTAAAATAAAGATGATAGCTTGGCAGATAAACTACATTTTTATTCTTTCTAAATATATTTTTATTATGATTTTGGATTTTGTCAATATAGGAATGTTAATAATATGGAGAGTTTTGTTGGAGTTAAAATCCGAAAGTCACTGCATGCCCCCCCCCCCCCTGATCAAGCTGTTACAAAAAAGAGGTCAGATTAAAGATCAGCTGCTTGATTTTATTTAATATTTATTTAAAACTTTATTTTCAGTTGATTGTTTACAATAGTTTTATAATCAACAAAAAACTAATTAAAATCTACACACTAAACTCTTTAAGACAATACAAACAAACATACATATCATGAATAAAAAATAAATAAAATAAAATAAAATAAAAATAGCTTACATAGTAAATAATATAAATGTCAATAAATACAACAAGTTGGTTATTTTCGACGCAAAAAATGAAAAATAAAAAAAGTTATTTTTGACAGATTTTACAAAAACAAGATTTTCTGTGCCATTTTAAAATACTTTTTTTGAACATCTTTAGACAATTTATTGACATAGTTTCATTGTCTAGGGAGTTCCATAGTGAGGTTGCTCTATATAAGTTACTTTTTATGAACTTATGTTTAGAGACTATGGGTGGGAGTACTGATTTTTTACTACATCAAAGACATAACAGTAAAGATTTTTTGATAAAAAGATCTGACATAAAATCTGGATTTAAACCATTTATAGATTTAAAAACTTCAGTTAACAAAAACCTTAAATTTCTAAGCGATATTTTCTATTTTTTGAATTTCTTATAATGGGAAATCAAATCTTTTATAGACAATGCCAAGTCCTTTTTAATAAATTTTATTAATTAGGTTATTATTATACTTTGAACAAAACATCCAAATCAAAAGACAATAGGAAAAACTTGACAGTATAAAAACATTGAGTAAGACAGTAGCTTGTTTTACTGATAAGAAGCTCCTTATTCGTGAAAAAGCGAAGCATTTACTATTCGCTTTTCCACACAGACTTTAAATATGATCTTCAAATTTCAAATCTTTATCAATTGTAACCCCGAGAAGTTTAATCTTAAAGGAAACCATGATTTTTACTTTTCCAACCATTAAAAATTGATCTTTACAATTTTTTAAGCCAGCTAAAAAAAATTGAACTTTGTCGGGATTTGCAATCATTTTAAAGTTCATTCAAACTTAATATTTGCAAAATGTACTTTTTTCAAAAAGCAATAATTCAAATTTAAGTTAAGAGCAGATAAGTAAGAATATAGATAAGTAAATTAAGTACTAGAGCACCTCAATAATTATTTTAAGGCAAATAACTTTTCTTTAAATATCACCAAAACTATATTTATTATTTATATTATTATATTATTTTGCGGTATGATTGCGGTAGTAGTGTAGTGGTAGAGCACTTGCTTCATAAGGGAGATTTTCCAAGTTTGATCCCCATTATGTCCCTGATAGTACCGCGCTCAATTTGTTTTGCCGTGCAACAACCTTGTTTGTCGAGGTTTGTGTTTCAGAGTTATGGAGTTGAGAGAAGGTTATAACCTCAATAAAGTAGTTTCCGGCCTTGAGAAGGTGAATTAACAAAAAAAAAAAAATTATAATTTATTCAAAAAACTCTGATATTTTATCATTTTAACTTTCTCAGTTAATAATTTAGTTTTATCCGCTGCAAAATGGCACTTGTCAACAAAATTCTGCTCAGTTTTATAAAATTAATATAAAATTTAACAAAAATCCTAAAAGTAATTTTTGAGAAAACTTTAAAAAATAACATTTGCTAATTAAAAAAAAAAAATTTCATTACGTGAACAACACATTAAAAAAAGTTTACAGTCAACAACATTTGCTAACAACGAAATAATTTGATAATGATGCAAAGAACAAGTCAAGTTTGTGTTAATTATCTGGAGATTTTTTTTACATTTCTGAAATGACTGCATATCAAAGCTACTTTGATGTCAAACTAGGTGACCAGGATGAAACTTGAGCTCCTCCTATTTGCTGCTCAATATGTTATTCTAGCCTGACACAATGGCTACCGAAAAAAGTTGTTTTATATACCCATGTTGTCGCATAAACCAACCAATTGTGTCCAGTTGTTACTTCTGCAAGGCTATCATAACAAGATATACTAGTAAAGTCATAATGTATGCAGACCGCTTGTTAGCTCTGAGGCCAGTCTAGCACGGTACTGAAAACCCTGTGCCTATTCAATGTATCCAAATGCCACAAGTAATTACATTACAGATAAGTTCTTGAACTAAGTAGTGGAAGCTTCTGCTACCTGAAACCAATGTGAGTCATTTTAGAACTAGGCATTTAACACTGTCCACATTTTACCCCATGGTAGACAACATATATTTTTGTACAGATAACAATGATCTGATTTACAAGCTTGGCTTTGAACATTTAACAGATACCTGATTAGATGCCTAAAATCAAATTATTTACTTAAGTTTCGTCAATATATTATAAAATATTTTTAAAAATTATCTGAGCATTTGAGCATTTTAACACAAGCAGTCTAGTCATAAGCATAATTGTCACCTGCGAACATGAAACACATTTCTAGAAGCACCCAACCTAATCTTGGACAGTGGCCTTGTTCATTCAATCTCATTGCACAGTGGCTTGTTTAACAAAGTTAGTGTTTTGGGTTAAATTAGGGTTAAAAGACAGTTTCATAAGTTAAATAAACAGTTATCCTTCTCAAATGTCGTGGTCCCTCTAAAATCTTGGGAAATTGAATGTAATAAAGTAGTTAAATACTTTATTAAAAGTATTAAAATACTAAAGTAAATACTCATGCAAATTTTATTTAATGTATCATCCTATCATGGCAATTTAAATTACTGTACAATACTTTAAATTATAAATTTTACGTAATTATTTTTTATGTAATATTATCAGGGCCGGCACGAGTAGGGGTCACGTGGGAGGGGGGGGTGCCATCACAACTTTTGCCGACTAAAAAATAAAAAAGGTCCTCGTTTTTTAAAATTTACTGACCGTCATAACGACATTTGCCGACTGACTTTACCAACTAACCTATCGACAGGCTCTACACTTGCCAACTAACTAGTCAAAAAGGGTCACATTTGCCGACTAAATATCATTGATGGGGTGTGTGGGGGGTGTCTCCCCCACACACCCCAATCACGCCGGCCTTAAATATTATAAATATTTAATTGTATTGATATTTAGTTTTGTTTTTTTTTATTTCAAGTCTTATTTAAATAAACCTTTTTTCAAAAATTTATTTTATTGTTTTATGGAATACTATATAAAAACCAAATAGAATTCTTAACTGATAATAACTTAATAAAATATTACTTTTTCATAATAAAATATTAAAAAGTAATATTTGGAAAAAACTTTTCAACATTTTATTATCTAATAGACACATACAGTTATAGATAATATAATGTACACATGACTTCAGCTTACCGTTAAATTCATTAAATGAATTGTAGCTGAAAAAAAATAACCAATATAAATATATTGTTGATAGTATATTTACATTGGTATTTGAAATTACAGAATTTTTCTTTTTTTTTTTAAATAAAGTTAACAAAAGTATAAAAACCAATACTTTCTTTCAATTACAATATGTAATGTAAACTTAAAGTTTAAATTTGATGCAAGCTTACAGTTTCAAATAAAAATTGTTTTCCAGGTTTAAATAGTTTTTTAGATGAAATTAAAAAAACTTAACTGGTAATTAATTTAAAAAAATCCATTTTTATTGTACTTTATTTTATTGTATATTTTCTACTTTATATTATATTCATTTTAATTTTTTTTGATTGGATTTCTATATATTATTATCTGTGGTATGTTTTTTTCTGTGATAAAGTTCATTTATGAAGCGGTAACATAAGAATTGGGTCCCAAAGCGTCTGTTTTCATTTTTTACCCTCAATGCTATGTCTTTTTTGATATGTGGTCCGAATATCAATCTTATAAAGCTATTTTAAAATATATATATATATATATATATATATATATATATATATATATATGTATATATATATATATGTATATATATATATATATATATATATTTTAAAATAGATTTGCATATATATATACAGCTTAAAATAGCATATATATTCTCATATATATATATATATATATATATATATATATATATATATATATATATATATATATATGTATATATATATATATATATATGTATATATATATATATATATATATATATATATATATATACATATACATATACATATACATATACATATACATATACATATATATATATAAATATATATATATATATATATATATATACATATATATATATATATATATATATATATATATATATACTCATATAGTGTCGCTTTAAGAGCATTTTAATGTAAAAAAAGTCTCTTACGACTACAATTTTAATTACCTCGTCTCTTAAGCTGTTTTTGATTGTCATCGAAATGTCAAAGCAATTAATTTATGCGGAAGTACATTAAATTTAATTGTTTTTTAAAAAATTTTTAAAA